AGTGGGCGAGGTGTACCTGAATCTTCAGGCTATCAAACTTCGAGATGAGGGTTTGAGGCCGTGTTAATACTCAAGATGGTCTTCTATTTCCAGGTAATATTTGTTTGAGCTACTTAATTCTGTGAATATATATTTAGGTGTACTTCTTAAAGTTTGTACAGAACTTAAGGTGAATCTTGAAATATCCTTTTCAGTTTATTTATATTAAATTCAGCCATACATTGGCTAAAGCAGAAATATGTCAAGAAGATGGTTAGAAGTTGTAGACTTTGTCTGCATTTGTATTTGCACCAGTTTTGACTATAGTGTAGGTATTGCTCTTGTGTCAGATATGACTGATTTAATCTGACTGGTACTTTAAGCTTCGTTACATCATCCCTGAATTGGCAGTAGTGTAGTGTGCCTAGTGGTTTGTGCTTTCGTCTGTTGTATGTAGAGGGTATTTTTATTACCAAATTTTTTTAACAAGATAGACACATGCAAGACTACCTTTTTAAAAACACTATACCATTATTGAATTGTTTTTCAGTAGTTACTCTACTCATGGTTCTGGTATTTAAGTATTTGCCAGCCACTTTTGTCCTAAAGGTGTATGAGAGGGAGGATTATATCCCCAGCTGTTAATAGGGAAGATCCAGCTGGCTTCTTGGGTGACAAGTTGTTTAGGATCATATGTTTTATAATAGTAAATGAAATTAAGGTACCGTATTTACTGAAAATTAGTTTTTGAGACTCATCTTGCAAATGTTTGTTTAAGCACTTTTTGAAAGGACAACTTTTGATACTGTTGCAAAGAAATCAATCAGTTTCCATAGCATTTGAGCAATTGACAATTTGAGCCTATATTAAACTGGCTAAAAATGTTTGATGTTTCTTAAGATTATGCTTTTCATGGCTTTGCTTGCAGTTTCTTCCCTTCTCCTTTACGCTTTTTGAAGACTTTGCAAGAATGCCCAGCCTGTGTGTTCTGCCTGATGTTCTCGGTGCAGTTTCTTGACATTGCAGAGTTGTGGAAAGGGATTTTAGAACGTAACGTCCTTCCGCCTGTATTGTTTTGTGTGTCCTACAGAGGAGTTCAAATAGAATTTTAAGTGGAAATTTAATCTCTTTGACTTGACCTGTTCCCCTAAAGATTTAGATCAGATTAAGCTGACACAGAGTTAGCATGTGAGTTGAATACTGGCTTGATGTGTTAATGGATACCTTGAACCATGGAGAAGACAGAAGCATTTTGTATTAGTTGAATTATATATATGTTCTGTTAAGGTTCAGATACAATGAATTGCATGAATCTAAGCTCCTTGGAATATAAGGGTTTCCCTTTTCCAGACTTAGTGAAGTGCCAGTGAAGCTCTGAGGCATCGGCCTGCCTTGGTTTTCTCACTGCTTCTGCCCCTGGCTGGTACCTCTGTTTATAACACTTCAGCAGGACACTTTATAGCGCTCTATGGAAAATGTCCCACAGTGTCTGACCTGCTGCGTTTTATGAGTTAGCTTTGTCTGTTACCAGAGTAACAGCAGCACAAAGCAAAGTGGTAAAAAGTTGAAGGATGTGTGCCAAGAATATTATCTGTTTTCTGTGTTCCTTATCCCTCCTTTACATTGACACATTTCTATTTAAAGCAAAATAAAAAAGACCTGTTTGTTGGTTTTCCTTTTTTGTTGTTTTGCTAACTTAGGGTTCCTACAGCTCAGGGTCTAAGAGTGGTTTCTTCTAGCAAGGAAGAGACATGCTTGTTTTTTAAATTGTAAGCTCTTGTTCTTGCTGTTGATTTCATTCTTAAATATAGGCACTATTCCTTTCGAGATTTCTTAACCTGAAACGGGTAAAGTACCCCCATCTTGACAGTCCGAGGATTAAAATTTTGGTGTGTCTTGTCAGTGGATATCCAAGCAGGTGTAGTTGCTAACCGAGCACAAACTTTAAATGATTTGTAAGAGTGCATTGGTGCATTCAGCATCTAAGTGTCATGGTAAGTATACTCTAGTGAGGCACTTAAAACTAGAACATCTGGTATCACTTCATACTGTGAAACTGGTGTGCTGACAAAAGGAGTTAATGTGAATGTGGAGGTGGTTTAAATTGTTGAGCAGTGTTACACTTCAAGACTTGAAGGGGAAAATATTATTTCAAAACAGCCTTTTTTTTCTGTGTGCAAGGAGAAATAACTTGTAGCCCTCTACACTACTGTCATTAACAGCTAAGCTTCTCATTTTTTGTTTCTGTTTTATGCATAATAAACTGGTCTCTTGCCTTGTAATTATCTACTCATAGCTGTTGAAAACAGTAAATCGTGCTCTTGTGAAATCTCTTTGGCTGTGTTAATGCCAAGGAAAAGAATATTTCCACCAAATATCTTTCAAATAATTTAGTATATTTTAGTGATTAAAAAGTTACATGAGAAACAAATGAGATTATCATCACTAGCTTTGTGTCTTATTTAGGTGTTAAATTTGACTCGGGTGTCTACAAGTGGAGAGGTGACGATCGCTGGCTTTGTTGCTGAGACAGTGCGTTATGTGCTGTTGCACGCTTAAACATTGCTGAATATTCTCCTTGGGTTTTCAGTTTATTGTAACCAAATTAGACCTTTGCAGCTGATGCACAGCATGGTGTAGCTGAGGGAAGCCTACCAGATTTAGTAGGACATGGGCAGAAAAACAGCAGGTAAACACTGAAAGGCCCTTTGTGGTATGTAAAAAATGAACATGATGTCTGCCCCATTATGTCTTAGGGCTCTTTTAAAAAAAAAATAAAACCTCACAGACCTTTTGAGAGGCCTTGTAAGAAGAAAAACAATTCTTTTTTTTTTTTTTTTCTCTAGTCTTTAAGGTAATGTATTTTCAACTTATTGTTTATAGTATTTTGTAAGATTATCCAGTAGTCTAGTTGGGCCCATTTGATCTTTAGGTTCTTAGTTGGAGGTGTAAGTAACTTCTTGTCAATATTTTTTTTTTTATGCATATCCGAGGAAAATAAGCAGTCTCATTGACAAAATTCTTCATTAACGTAGGGCTGAGTTTTGAGCACTTAAGATTCAGTTATTTTTTTACTATTACATTATTATCAACGCATAAAACCTAACTTTTAAAGCTTGTTAAACTTTAGATGACATATTGGGTATTTACTGCAGCTATGATGTCACTTTTTGGGAACAATCTGAAAGCTGTGCTACCTGGTGTGCTTTAATAAAATTAGAATGAATTTGTTCTTAATCTCACTGCTGCAGTAGCTGTTGTTAGAAGTGGAGCTCTTCTGGAAGTGGTTTTCACATGGCCACGTCTGGATGATGATACAAAAGCAAGTCTTACCTCTCTTTGAAAGATGGAGAAGCTGAAGCTTACCAGCAGTAACTAACTTTCAAATTTTTTCCTGAATTTTATCCTTTTAAGTCGGCAGGAAAACTGTGGCTCAGTCCAGGCTCTGCTCTCTGGACTGCACTACCTGTTACTCGGAGGATCTGTCTCTGTTGCAGCCCCTTAGCACAGAACCAAACGCTTGCCAGAAGGTATAAGTGCTTGAATGTGGAAAAAATTGTTGCACTAAAGGTTATAAATTATTAAAATGACATGGAAGTTGTGTCCAGTAGAGATTTTACTGGTTACTTGGAAGCATCTGTTGAATGCATATGGAAGTAATGATTTTAAAACACACCCTTAAATAAGGTATGTGTTCCAGTTCTGTTGTGCAGGGTACGGTCTTTGAAAAAGTTGTCTCGGATCAGCCCCTCCTCCCTGTCTAGCGCTGCCCTATTTTGCTAATTTTTGAAGGTAAAATAGATAAGGGCAACTATCTTGCAGTTTTTCTCCAGCTCCAAAATGACAATAGTTGGACACAATCTGATTAAAAAATAGGCTGTTAAATAAAAATTGCTACTGCTACTTTTGGCTGTCATCTTTGAATCTTTTTATAGGAAGCTGCTAGAAGTTGACGCTGAAGAGAAAACCTTTTATTTGCAAATGCAATACCAGCTCAATGAGCACTGTACTGTGAATATTTGAACGATGGTGATTCGCTAATACGTAGAACATACATATTGACTGTATGTTAAAGTATAAGCATAAGGCTCTGGTGTATCAAGTGGAAAATGTTGAAGCTGTGCCTGCCTTTACTGCTTCTGTATAATTTCTATATGTTGGGCTCTAAAGGAGTGTATTCATCAGCTTTCATTCTTGGAATGATGGTTAGGTATTCATTAAAAGTAATAAATATAAACTGTATTGGCAATTTACAGAAACTGCCTAAAGTACTGAATGTTTTCAAAAGAATTGAGTTCAGTTGGATTTGTGAGATAGGAGAAATATAATACACCAAGTAGTCCTGGGGAAATGCTCCGTCCCACCTGTATCTAGCAGAATTTTGGACGTTAATCTTGTTACAGCCCTATCGCTGCCTCCTAACAGCGTGGTAATACCATCTAATGCCCCGCTGCTCGCACGATTGAGGTCCTGGGGCTGCCTCATCGAAAGTGAAGTGATTCTGTGGGAATGTGTACAGGGAAGTGATTCTGCAGTGCCTGTGGCCCTGGTGGTTTCCATGGGAATGAGCATGAATCCGTGTACTGCAAAATGTGTTATGCAGCTTCACATTGCGGAGAAATACATTACACCAGTGTGTGAGCAGGGCAGTGGAGAATTTAAACACACAAATGTAATGGTGCATTTTTACTTATGTTCAGGCGATATTTAAAGTGTGCTAATGGCTTGTGAACAATGAGGGAGATGGTTCTTAACATGAGCTGTTGTGCAGCCTTAAAAAAAAAAAAGGAATAAAGAAAAAAGTGTAGTGGAAGAAAAATCAGGAAGAGATCGATCTGTTAACATTTGATATTTGTCTTTGTTTCTGTGTGTTAATAAACTTTGCTTTTTTCCACTATTTAATAACTTCTTCCTTTGGTGCACTGCAGTTTGTGTTTAACTTCTTCCATTTGCAAGAACAAGCAACTTGCTTGGACATGAGTAAATAAATGACTTAAACAGATGTTTCATGGTACCTACAAGTACCATTGGCTAGAGGTGCCGTGGTACCTACATGGTACCATTGACTGATTAATGTAAGTTCCTGATAGAGCTGAGGGAAACCACAGCCTGTGAAAAACCAACAGGCCTCTAGCCAAAATCCAGTCACTTCCCCGTCAGATGTTGTGTTTGTACAGGAACAGGCTTAGTGTCTGTACTATGTCAGTTCTTCAGGCTGAATTCCACCTCCTGATTTATGCCAGTAGCACTGAATCTTTTTCATCTTATATTTTAGATAAGGTATTAACCAGTTTTAGTTCTAGGTATTAACTAATGGTTTGTTTCGTGTTCTGTCTCTGTTTTTATATAAAAATGGTGTTTTTTATAATTTCGAGTAGCTTTTTTTTAATAGATTATTATTCTTTTTTAAATCTCTACAGCATTTGAAATGTCCCAGTAATAGGATGGGTGAGAAGCTGACTAGTATATCCAGCAGCTGGGTGTGCTTCCACTAAGCACAGTTGTATGTGTCACGCACTTGGCCGTGTCCTTGAGGAGCCTGGACCTGCACTGTGTGAGCACCCACCTTCGGTGCAAGAGCGGGGCTGTTGGAAGGTGCAGGGAGGCTGTGTCACCATAGAGGAAGGCGCCGTTCTTGTTAGACTGCGTTTCCCTCTTGCTTGAAGGGAAATTCTAGAGCTCTTGAATCCCAGCAGTTTGGCAGTAGTTTCGCTTAAAAAGGGAAATAATGAAACAACTGAAAGAGCGGATACTTAGTAAATATTTTATACAAGGCATTACCTGACGGTGCTTTAAGCTTTGCATTCAGTTTGCATTGAGCGTGTTGCTGAGATACACAAGATCTACGTAACAGAGTTACAGAAAGTGAAAAATGAACTGAATGTCTACTTTTTCTAGTCTGAGCTTCAGGGTAAGCAAGGTACAGCTTTTCCAGCCATCTTCCAAGGGTGTACATAACCAGTTAATGTTCAGGAAGGAGTGATAAAAGGCTTCTTGGCCTGTCGCTGGCTTTGAGTTGTGCTGAGTCAGCCACTTACCGAGATAAACTAGCAAGCTATACTCTGTCTAGCTTAATGTTATCTGTGGATACTATCACCTTCTTTGTCCTGTTGGAGGGGAAAAAAATAAAAGAAGTGTTGAGTTAGATGGCTATAAGCACTTTATGAGGCAGGAGGTAACATGGGAAACCATCACGGTCCCTATAGTTACAGGGTGGTGTGGTTCTTAAACGAAATAGAAGTGACAGAAAATACTGATGTTAAATCAGCAATCTGTGATAATTTGGGTAGATTTCTTCATCCTAACATACGTATTGTGGGGCTGCACTCCTTTTTGAAGGTTACTGATGTTCCCTTTTGTAGTTAAATCATCTGAAATCTTGAGGTTTACAAACTAAGCAGATGATAAGGTACAAACTGATGTAACAAGTCACCTAGGGAACAAAAAGCTTTGGATGCTTTTCATTTGCTTCCTAATACTTGAAGGTATTTGTATAGTGAGGAGCATGTAACATTTCCTCACTTCCCTCCCAAGCCCTACAGTTCAAGGCTTTCTATTCAGCATGGATTTCCAAAATGATTTCGTACCTACATGAGACAAACCCAACAGAAACCTATGATTTATAGTTTCTGTGTGAAAATATATGCAGTATTCCCTGCTTGAGGACCACCTCAGATCGATATACGTTCTTCATAATAGTTGAATTCAGGCTCAGCTCCAGGAAACTTCCAATCTCCTGTCAAAAAGTGGTTTTGCTATTTCGCCTGACTGGGATGGTATGAAATGGCATGCATCATTTTGCTGTGGCTCCTATATAACTATTGGTTTTAAGGCCCAAATTTCTGTCAAGTTCAGAAATAAGTTTTTAACATCTACTGTTTATTAGCTGTTGAGTGACAAAAAATGTAAGCTTACTATTGCAAGAACAGTGTTTTCAAAGGCTTTGGTGTTAGGGCTCCAGCCAGTCAAGATAAAGGTCCAACGCTGTAGGGCATTTGAGGCCTTCTGTCCAAAGGACGGCTGTTATACTTGCTAGACAGAGCAGTGAGGGCTAACACTTGTTATTTCTGAGCTTGCTGTTCAAAAACAATGGGTGTTTTATAGTTATCGTGGTTTTCAGGTCTACATGGTCTTGTCCTTTTGACCTTAGATTTTGTAGAGTATGTTCAGATTAAGCAACTTTGATGTTACTTGTCAGGGAATTAAGATAACTTTTTTTGGCCACTAATCATAGTTAGGATTGAAGATATTTGTCAAAACAATTACTTTAAGAGGTCTTAATGGAAAACAATATTTTTTTTTTTTACTTCTCCTGAGATAAAAGTGGTGTAACAGTCCTAAGAGCTTTTATTAAAAAATATGAGAAAGAAATGATTAAATGTTTAGACATTGATCATGTCAAGAATGGTTGAAAAATTTAAAAACCTCTGCAGATGGTCTAGAGTATGCATTTAAGCAAATTCAGGGTTTGACTGTCAGTAGAGGTGGTCACATTTCTCAAGATTGGTATAATGTGGAAAATTCGGTTTCACCTCTACTCTTCAGTTTACCTCTTGGCACAGCTTTCTGTGATGCAGTCTTATGTCATGAAGCTTCATATCCAACACCTAAAAGACCGGGGTATCAACCTGTTGATTTTGTGCTGTTGAGGCGGTATCTGTCAGACAGTGCTTTCTAAAACATGTTTCTGTGGACTGCGCTGATTAAGTTGGAATTTTTTCTGTGTACATGTAAACATCTGTCTCTTTAATCATCCAGAGGAGAGCGTTACATGTATTAGACATATGTTTTCTTACTCTTAACCGTTGCAGTGATATCTTTACTTTACCTCAGAGTTCATTTTCTCCTGGCAGGGAAGTTGAGAGACTTTGTTACCATCTTATCAAGTGGTGCTACAGCCAGGAGACAAATCAGCTCAAGGCAAGTTTTCACTTGGTCAGCTTCCAAAACTTGTCTTTTTGTAAGCGCAGGATAAGCACTTATCTGTAGTATGTAAGGAACTATTGGAAACTATCTGGAACTATTAAAAAATGTGAACATTACCCATGTTTCAATATATCTTACTCTGATTTTTATATTGTTTTTAACCAAAGACTTGAGAGGAAAAAAAAAGCCATTCCTTGCTTACCTGAGGATTCAGAACTGTTTAATTAAATTTCATTCTTGCGTAGCTAATTGGTTAAATTTCAGCACAACGCTGATTGTTGATGTGCTTTTGGTGTAGTGTGAGCTGGGGAAGCAGGCAGGCCTGCTAATTTAGTATAAGAAATTGATGTGTGAAATTTGGTATGTCTTCATTTGGGTATTATTAAACGGATTAGCTAACTCTCTTTTTTCCGGAGGTGCTGTATATGCATTTTCTGTGTATCAGATAGAGGTGTCTTGATTCTAGGCATCTTGGAGTTTAGCACAATTCAAACACAATTGCCTGAGTCATTGTTAGTAACGTCAGTTGAGATCTATCCTTTTACAAAACTATATTAGTTGAACTTTGTCTGTGCTAGGAGTTTAAGTAGAATTGCTCATGCTACAACACTTAAATGTAAAAGTTCATTATTTGAGCTTTAAGAGTTTGAGTGGAGCATGCTCCGTATGTGATACAGATATATTCAAAATATATTGGACACCATTAACAGTAATAGCTTTCAAGAGTCTTTCTGCCAAGGTAAATATTGATCCCAGTTTCACTCGTGTTTAAAAATTGAGAGGGCGTGGGCGTCGTGGCACGTTGCACATTTGATGCCCATATTCATTATGGTTGGTTTGAAAACAGCTACATCACACGGTCACTGTCTTATGCTCTCCTGATCCTCTACCGAGATGGTGGCAATTGGTGCTAGTGGCTGTGCTGATGAAGCTTTCTTGGGTGGGAAAAAATGAGAAGCATTCCAAAATATTTAAATATTTGATTTAGAAGTGTATATCAGCTTGTTACATCACGTATCCGGGGGGCTAACAGAAGCTCTCTCTTGTTTGATACCGCATCTGTAAGACAGCTCAGGTACTGGAAACCTGGTTTCAATGTGGTGGCTTTCAGGAGCACAATTGTAACTCAGTCTTCAGTGCTTTCATTTACTGCTGTCTCTTTAGAGAAATACAGAGATGTGCATCTTGGCGTATTTGTGTCTTTACAGCAGAATTTTTGTGGGGTACCCAAAGGCTTGCGATACTTCAGCTGACGGTTCATCCTATAGGTATTTCTGTAATGAGGTACAAACCTGAAATGAACAACCACAATGTCGGGATGTAGCCAAAGTTAAAATTTGGCATTATGCTCCCACAGCTAACATACGTATCTTTGAAGGTTTTAATAGTTTCAGAATGGCTCTTTTTTGTAGTGTGACTTCATTCTTAATGCTTGAGCAGTGCTTTGAAGATGTGATTTTTTTTGAACTGCAAGCTTTTTTTTTGTATGTTAATTGAGGATTAATGACCATAAAAATCTGACAAGTGGCTACTTCAAGTGATTAAATTGCTTTAGTATTTTGAACACTAAATTTACAAGGCTGGGGGACTCGAGTTTTATTTAGTAGCTATTTGTGTATCTGTTTCTAAAGAATCTGTGTGTACCTACGTATTTATTACGTACTACCTGTATTTACTAAATCAAGCTGCTTATTGACTTGTGTGTTCAGAGGTATCTGAATTTAGATATTTTTTTTTCCTTTTTAAACAAAAAATCAAATTAGTTGATACATTTTCTACTTGAGTACATAGCCTTTCCTGGTTGGCTAGCTGCATTACTTAAATAGCAGTAACAGCTGAAATGGGGCTTGGTTCCTGTTAATTTCATGTAACAGTGCCATTGCAGGGAAGAGTCTAAAGGTATTTAAGAGCTATTATCGTTTGTACAAAGAGGCAATATCTCTTGTTAGATGAATAGGTAGATGGGAATTGGAAATAGTGTTTGGAAAGCGAATCAGCATTGGATGAAAGATGGGTTATACTGATGTTCATTTAGATTTCTCTGGGTTTTTTTTTTTCTGTCATTTGGAGAAATTGATTTGTATTTCTTGATGTGCTGTGTTACTTGCATTATTTAAATGTAAACTTCCTACATTTATCTTCAGGCCAATAAAACTATTCTGATTCTGTTCTGGTGGTTCCCTTTTTGGGGAAATGTCTAGATACAAGTTAGTGTTCATTTTTCTTGGATGTGCATAGCTTACTCAATATGAAGTATTGGTTTGTGCAGTCAAATCGGGAAATGTCATGGCATTGTCATTTGTATAGAGATCAGCTCTCCCTTCTCTATCTAGACAAGCAGATGAATGGAAACAACATTTTTAATGTTTGAAACTGGCCTTATCGCTAGAGAAATAGTTCTGCTTTACACATGAAGGTCTGTTTTTAGTACTGAAACACAGGTCCCAGTGCATGCTTCCCTCGTGGTCATATGGTAGCATTTTGATGCAGGTTTTTCAGTCTAAGAGCCTGCTGTACTACAGACTTATGTGCTAAATGAAACTCTCCAGAACAAAGAACAAAATAAAACCAAGAATCATGTGTTGTTGGATGCATTTCTCAGATGTGTTCATTTTATCTTTTTGTAAATTATTTCAGTAGCTAATGTCTTTTCCAGTGCAGTCATAAACCTGAACTTCTGCAGCGTGCTAACGGGTGTGAAATTTAGAGTAGGGAGTTCATGACCTTCTCTGCTGCCTTTCCCAGGCTCCATTAGAAAACCAGCCTGCAGGTAGCCTTTAACTGGGATCTGTATCTCCCTGGGCAATATCTGCTGTGGTCTTCAGGTGCAGATTGAGAACTGCAGACTTGTGCAAAACTTCATTGTGCATTGGGATATTTGGTTAGCATTTGAGAGTTTTGAACTCCTAGTTTTATCTCAATGGAAAATGTATTGATACCCTGTGAGCCCATGCTACTATATGCCCATGCTCTTTTCATTTGCTGCTGCTTTCTGTGAGCAGCTATCATCAGAAATACTTCTGGAACAGAATCAACAGGCAAAGAGGATTCACATGAACAGGGACAGTCCATGTGCATAGAGAACTCAAGAGGAAATGAGGAGAAAAATACTGGAGAAAGGTGAAGCTTATGAGACTATGAAGATGTTGAGAATAGTTCTGCGGTAGGCAGAGAGCATGCTGTGCTGTAACCTGTCCAGTTAGTTATGGAGTCATTGACTGGAGAAGACGGAGCTTATGGTAAATACATGATAAACCTTAACTTCACACTAAAGGGAAGTTGAATATTATTTTTACATGCTGGCTCAGTGGTAGGAGGCATTCATCTTCTACATCTGGGTGATCGCGAACTGGAGTTTGCTGCACTGCTTTCAGCAGTGTTAAATTCTACGTCACTGCCCGCTGATCTTAATTTCCTTACTCTTTTCCCATGGAATGAGTTTTATATAACCAGGGTACCTCTTTGCTCTGTAGACCTCTTTTAACAAATTGGGTAAAAAGGTATGGCTTGAAAGCACTTGAAGCTGCTCAACAGCCAAGGAGAAAGCTAAGGATAAATATATGTTCCTGATGTGTAAATATGAGCTTAACTTTTTAGGTTTTGTCCCTTTAAAATGTTCACTAAATACTAGTATTTGTACAAAATCTGTTTTTGGGGTGGTTGAGCTGAAATCCATTACTAGTCGGTTTGCCAACAGACATTAAAGTACTATTGCTTTAATGACAGTGTAGTCCTCAGACATTTTCTTGTGCGTTTTGCGTGGGTGGATTAGGATTTAGTGAAATAAAACCCACTTATGCTGGACAAAGTGTAAGTTCTTTCAAGTCTGTGTTTGTGGTTATTTTCTTATCTTCTTCTGGTTTTTGTTGTTTAGCATGAAGATTTACTGAAGTGTAAAGTGTTTCTGGCAAATGGTTGACTATTTTTGAGTGTTTTTGTTCATACTGTTCCAATTTACAGTATCATCTCATGAGAATCCCTCATTGTGGAGTTCAGATTTAGGGAATGAAGTGAGAATTATATTATTAAATGATGATGAGTAATTTGTGCTCCTTTTTTTTCTTTCTTTTGTCATTTATTATTCTTAAATGTTCTAGGACACACATAGTTTAAAAAATATGGATTACATTATAATCTGAAGTGAAACTGAAATGAGGTGTCATTTTGAAGGTTAATGCAACTGAAATTTGATGCACATTGTGCCTTTAAAAAACTTCCTACCGGTTTCTGCATAGTTACTTTCAAGGTGTTTTGATAGGTTGTTGTGCAGTGTTTCCCTCAGGAGGGAGCTTATTGCCCATACAATGTAGCTTCTAATAGTTACAACAACAAGGTAAAGTAAAAAGGATCAATATTTCATTTTAGAAGGGTGTTTCATAAAATTGGTTTAGAACTGCATTTTGAACATTCGTTTAATGTTCTTTATTCTCCTGTAATATTATTAGGATAGCCACCTGTTCTTCAACCTGTATTAAAATTGCTGGTGTTTAAGCCAGCAGCTCACTTGGTTTGCAGCTCAAATCTGTGCAACACTTCAGCAATTAAAAAAAATCCAAATATATAGTTTGAGGACAAAAAACCCAACCCCTTACATAATACGATTTTCTTTTCTTTGTGTTCTAGGTTGTATTAAAGATCATTAAACATTACCAAGAAGAAGGACAGGGGAATGAAGTGGTCCAGGGAGTGCTGTTGGGTCTCGTGGTGGATGACAGACTTGAAATCACCAATTGCTTCCCTTTCCCTCAGCATACAGAAGATGATGCAGACTTCGATGAAGGTAATGGTTACCGTTTTGCAAAACTTTAGTTAAAAAAAAAAAAAATCCACATGTGGAGAAAAGGACTTTAATTTTTTTTCCACAGTGACAAGAAGCTTGTATGTGATCAGAGAGTGCTTTTTATTTGACTTGAGGTGTCAGTGGGTTACTCGCAAGGCCGTACTGCATAGCCAAGTGAAATCTTGTCTGTGTAAGGAAAGTTGTAGGAATAAATACTGTATTATATGGACGCACTTATTTTAGAGTAAGACTGTCCACACGGGAAGTTAGATAAGTTTCCAGTCTATAATTCATATAGACTTTAAAGCTTTTTATGAAAATGTGTGTGTGTATGTGTACGCATATATACCTGTACACATATACGTAGTCAGACATATAGATTGCCTCTCTGTACATTTACTTGTGTGTGTTAAGTACTTATTGGAAGCCTGGAGAGCAGAACTTTGTAAGATTAAGAGGCTCTGGCTAACTTGAAATTTGGGTGATCTTTCTTCTTCTCCAAGTGAGCTAGAAGTAGTGTCAGTGGTTTCTGTCTGTCTTAGTGTTTCCTAGCTGGTCCTAGTAATGTTTTGTTATTGCCACTGTAAGTCAGTATAACTGGCTTGACACAGAATGATATAAAATTTATAAAGTAAACTTGAAAGACTTAGAATTCTAATCTTGGTAATGTATATATGTGTGTGTGTTTAATGATACTGGTAGAAATGCTTCTTTGTTAGGGCTTTAAGAGGTACAGTTTAACTTCAGGAGTGACTAAGGAGAGGCAATATAGTCAACATAGTTGCGGTTGGAAGTTTGATTCTATCTAATTTTGATAATTCAGTTTGAGCAAGATTACTTAATCTTTAAGTATAAACTGTTTTTTCTTACTTATAATGAGGTTAGGTATTATTAAATTAATATTTTCTCTTACTACAAAAGAATCTTGGGCCCTGCCTTAAAAACAGAGATCACTAAGGATTCCTTGCAACTTGGTAAGATTTTGTAGGTGTTTGTTGCTTCTGTTGTGGGATTATAGAATTTGCTCTATGGGAAAAAATAAAAGGCAAAACGTAAGGGGGAACCTTAATTGTTCCTACATCAATATGGTGCTTGAGTCAGAACTGTATTTTATTAAAGCCTAAAAGATGTTTTAAAGATTCCTTCTCTTCTGGAGTCCTTCAAAGGATTGGAGTAATCTCAATTTTTAATTGGAGCCCATGTTTCAGTTTCTCCTGTAGAAAATGGCTGAATTATTTCCATGTAACCAATAGGCAAGCAAGAAGTGAAATGAATTCCTTAGTTTCCAAGATGGATTCGTTTCACCATACGATGATCCTGGCATTAAGTAAGGTGCAAAAGGCGATGCTTGTGGAGCTTCCCTTACCTGGATGCCTTACCATCAAGCTTCTGTTCCCATGCTGCAGGCACAGAAAGAAGAGCAAACTCAGCCAGAGCAGAGAGTGAGCCTGTGGCAGTGACGCTGATGTGTGCCTCAAGCAGTGATGTCAGGGGAGCACATTGCCTGTGCTGAAGCCTATGAGCCAACCTCAGGAGCCATTTTGTATTGGTTTTCATCTTCCCTAGCCCCTACCGTGTGGCTCACAAAAGGGTTCCCTCTGTGTTCTTCTTGGTGAAATACAGTTAAATAGACCGAACTGTCCATGAAGCACAGCATTTCACATGAGGTGTTCATTCTGCACTCCTTACTTGAGGCCTGTTGAGCCCTTTCACCTGTGTGTAAGAGGCCAGAGAAGATGAAAAGCCAGACAAAATGGCTCTTGAGATTGCCAGCTGAGCAGTAGGTACATTTTTAGGCTCTATACAGAGTTGTCTTCTGTCTTGCCAATGTGAAAACCAGTAATGTTTTATAAATACTCCTTGTTTGTTTTCCCTGGAGCTATGTTTTCCTATGCAAGCATCCTGCCAGATTTTGAAAAGATTCTTTTTTCTTCTAGATACAGATATTCCAGCAGAGAAATCTGTTGTTATATGCCAGAACCTTAAAATTCAGGATGCTAAAAACCAAACTAAACAAAGCACCTTCCTCCTCCTGCCCCCAAGACTTATATGTTACATGTGTATCATAACTGGGGTTTATCTGCACAAATGCAGGCCCAGAGTTCCAGAATGAAAGAATAACTATCTTTGCACTTCAGCGCCTCCGTCACCCAGAATGGTACTTGGTGTTGTCGCCTTTGATCAGAATAATGGTGTACTCTGTTGTCTTTTCTCCTTTCTTAGTGTATCTTTTGATTCCTTCCCCTTCCTTAATTTTTCTTTCCCCCTTGCCTAAGATTCTGAAATAGGTGCAATCCCGTTGAAATTCCAAGTTTCTGGACCTGCAGAAAGGATTACATAGTGGACTTTGGTCATGCTTGATGTTATGTTAGTGCTGTTGTGCTTGTTGAAGGGCCACGTCACCCCTCGCTGCCTCCTCCTGAGAAGAGGAAATGGGGAGCAATCGCGGTGTGATTTTCTGTTGGCAGACTCCTAATCTGCCATGCTGAGAATTGAATGGATACACTCAAAAAATAATTTCTGTATCATCTTGCGGTAGCTCTAGGAACAGATCACCTGAAAAATACTCATTTCCCTTGTGGTCTTGGTGATCATTGTTAAGAGAATTGAGCTTACCTACAGGAGGGTGATACTTGAGCAAGCAAACCGTTGGGTTATTGGCAAGAGACATTTAGGCTAATGCTTTGCTTTATAAACTGAGCAAACCTAATATAGAACACATTTTTGAGGGTGCTAAGAAAATATCCTTAGTTTGAACTTGAAATAGGTATGCATGACATTTAAGAATCAGTTTGCAAAGACCTGTTTCTAACTTGTTAGCAACCACCATTTCTTCAGATATGCTTAGATATGCTTTTGTTATGGTGCCATTTTGTCTCTTGCTGCTCATGCCTGAGATAAGAAGTTTTGACTATTTGCCACAACAGAATTCCTTCAAAAAATGAAATTTTTCTTTAAAGAAATGATACCAAACTTGTTATTTTAGTGAAATGTTTTTTAAGTGCAGTTTGAATTGGACTATTTCTGGAAACTATCGAAAACATGAGAGGTTTTTTTAGCTTCAAGTAATTCTTATTATAAACCTGGGGGGATTATCTACCATTTATGAATCACAGGTGTTTTTTGTCTTGGAAAGTTGCTTCTGCAGTGTCATCTTCCTACGATTCTATTTACAAAGTGTAATGTTTTGGTAAGATTTTCCTGTCAGGGAAGTCTTAAACACCCAGGCTGGCCTGCTGCAGCACGAGATTTTTGGAGGGGGTGGAAGGATTCAACCTGACTGTGTATGAGAAATCTGTAGGTGAAGTTTAGTTGATGATGTGTGAGCTAATGGGGGAAAACTGCAGAACAAGGGCATGTTGTTGAGTCTTCAGCAAAAGAAGCCGCAACACAAATGTCTGAGATTTTGGGGCAGCACTCTGGACTTTAGGGCAGGCATTTACTTCTCATATAACTCTTTCCTAATTACTAGTGCACTTGAATCCTCATAGGTATTGAATTTATTTCTCAAAACGCAGATATTAAAGAAGATGCTTTGTTATCTACGTGTTCAGCCCTTGTTTCTGCATGGCCCCTCCTGCCCCCTGTCTCCATCCGATGGATTGAACTCTTGTTTAGGTAAAATCAGATTTCTGCTGGAAAGATTTTTGACTTAGGCACTTCTGTGCAATGATGCAGCAGCCCAGGTTGTCTTTGTGAGGGTACTTTTCTGAGAATCACTTTAGGGCACTTCCAAGCTTTAGTCTGAGCATAGTTTTGCTGTTTCAGTTAAGGTTTACAAAAAAATGTGTAATGCATGAGGTGTATTTTCTTCTCAAGAAATAAAAGAGTTGTTCTAATCTATAAATTGTGTCTCTAAGTGGCAAGTTCAGTCTTTTGCATTACATTGTTTTTATCCTCAGTGCTATTCACTGAGTAGCTCGTCTCTCTGATTAAAGGAAATTTGTAATCCTTTCATGGTAAGCAACAGTTAAAAATGTGTACTTCTTGTCTCGCAAGATCCAGAATTAATTACATTATTTTGAGAAGGTATTTTGAAACATTTTATTTCAGCCTGATATATTTTAGTACCTTACTTACAAAGCTGAGATAATAAATTAAGTGCTGTGGTGATTGTGCCAACAGAAACTTTGAGGCAGTTATATAATTATACATCAAAATAAATTCTAGAAGGTTGTAACTTTTTCTTCCTTTATAACTGTCCAAAGTTTTCATTAGATTGCCTCTGCAATGCTACAGATGAAGAGGTGATGCCGCCTTCTCCTCACCCCCCACAACATGATTCTTACTTTCTTACCTGAGAAGGTTAATTCTGTTTTTCAGTTTTCAGATTAGAAGTATCTAGATGATTAAAGATCCTAATACCTTTACTTTTTTGTGCTGTAGGCTGTATTTAGATCTATCATCACTCAGTAATGTAGTGCAACATTTCCACAAAAAACCCTCACCATTTTCTCTGTGGCTTGTATTTAGCCTTAAATGATGGCAGTTGTATACGGAGGAACATGTTGTAGCTCCTATAGAGTGCTTTTTCAGGGTTTTAATCAGCCAGAGGTACAGCAGTTGATCTGGCTGAGCCTTACCTCCAGTACTGCCAGTGCAGTGACCTTGCAGAGGCTTTGAGTAGCTACAAGGAGCATGCTTAGAAAAGTAAATTTAAGATAAAGCAGTCGACCAAGTGTGTGCTTTTGAGCTGTTGCCTACTGCAATGAGAATGAAGTGAGTGTTGCCTGTTTAAGGCCATTCCTGTTTCACGTGAGGACTTGTTCTTGAGGTTGCATTTCTTGAAGTGAAGTCTCTGCTCTGCTGCACTTGCTTGATATTACGGGGGCTTTGAGACCGGAGTCATGTGAGTTCCTGTGCTTTCCAGCATGTTGTGGTGTGGTGAAGTGTTCTGGCTTTTTAGAAAGCAATTTACCAGAAAAATGCTACTTATTGTCTTCTAGGCTTTTATTTTTGCCTTTTATTAGGGTAATAGCATAGCTCCAAAAACAGCCTTG